GGCCTTGGGGTCCGGCCGTGGGTCGAGCAAGGGCCGGGCAGCCAGGCAAGGGCCTGCCGGAGGGTCTCACCTCCTGCCGAGCTGGGCGCCAGGTCCTGGGGAGCAGGGCGGGGCAGGGCCCAGCGTGCAGCTTCCACGCATGCACCCCGCTGTTTTTATATGCAAACAGGTGCTGGCATCCTGCGTGAGGGGTTTCCGTCCTGCTGCAAGTCGAGGTAGGCCTCCGAAATAGCTTGCAAAGGGCTAATTGGTGAACACAGGTTGCAAACAGCGTTGCTGACGGTGGTGTCATGGGTGGCAGCATGCCCGTCGGTGTCATGGCTGTGTCATGTATGTCAGTAGTCTGCTGACCTGCCAGGCTCTGGAGTAGCCTAACATAACCCATTAGTCATTTTTAAAATGTCTGCTAGTCACTTCCTAGCAAACCATTTCTAAACGGAAACTCTTGTCAGGGCTGATGGCGTTGTCAGGAAGGGCTTTGGTGACAGGGGCAGCGACCATCTTAAACCCCCCTCAGCAAGGGTTTGGAAAAGAAAGAGCAAGGGTTTTGAACAGCTCACCTGCTCAGGGGAAAATTTCCCAAAAGCCACCCCAGGGAGCTATGCTGCAATTCCTGTTTGTCTCTTGTGACATTTGCATTTTGTTCCTTCCTTTAGAACCACTGGATTGCACAGATGCTTCTCAAATGTCTCATGGCCCATCAAGTTAGTTCAGCCGTGCTTGATTTGGGGTGTTTCTGTGCAGGGGAAGTGAAATTGGTGAGCTTTTAGTTAGTTTCTGCACTTTCCGCAGAAACTAACTTGAAGCAGAAGTTTCTGATTTTGGCTTTGTGGTAAGCACTGGTTGAAAGAGCTGCAAAAGAGCAGAAACAAAATTGAACAGGGCCCCCTGCGGTTAATGCAGAAAGTGGTTTTTAGCCTGGAAGGAATAGGAGTGCTGATCTGAGCAGTGTTGAATGCTCTTGTTTCAGTTGATTGGAGATTGCTCCTGTGGTGACATCACTAAGCAGTACTACGTGTCCACACCCTTCCCAGGAACGTTGGTAGCGGGTGTAAGCAAGCCAGATCCTGTCTCTTTTCATACCAGGCGCTTGCCAGCTAGCTCACTCTTCATGTCCAATGGTCAGATCAGATTCCAGAGTGTGTGGGTAGGCAGGCCAAGCAGATCAAAGCTATCAACATTCCCTGGATTGAGGGGCGACATGGGTTACACAGCCTGTGCACTCATACTAGAGCTCCTTCAATTTATTATTTTCTTATTTTGTGTTTAGCATTCATAACGTACTGGTTCTGCCCTGGTCAGAAGTGGGCTGTGTTCCATTTTACTTAGGGCAAGGGAAACTCTGTCCTCAGCACCTTGTTCTTGCCTGTTTTACTCCAGCCATCGGTACTGCACTTTCAGCTTCCTAGAGCTCTGCTGTTGTTCTTCTAGCCTGGGTCAACATTACAAATTGAAAGGCAGTGCACCGAGCGCAGCTCTGGCAACCTCACTGACTGATGTTTGTTTTTTAGTGACTGTTATGCTGGAGGAAGGTGTTCCCTGGACAGTCCTGAAGACAGAAGCACTGTATTTCTAGAGCAGGTACAGTACAGACAACAGCCAAACAAACCTCTTATTCCATGTCAGGTCTTTACCTTCGCTTGCAGAATGTCCCTAGGAGGGGGGAGGACAAGTTGGCACTTGGCCTTTCTGTTGCAACTGCTGACTAAGGAACCTGTGGTGTTGGAGTTGTTGCAATGTGAACTTGCACCTGTGTCCTAGCAAACTGGCCTGCGAAAAGCATTGCCAAAAAAGAGCAGCAAAGAAGCTGGGCCTCTGCCTGGGAAACCCCTTGCAAGCTGTAGAGATCACACGCAGAAAACAAGCGCAGCACCACTGGTAAGGTGAGTCAGCATTCTTGGAGTGATTAAGAACTGGTTTGCTAGATGACTTGTATTGATGTTAGGCCTGTACATCTTTTACATCCTTCCAGTAGAGCAAGTCAGATAGGAGAAATTATTTAGCTAGTGATTGTACAGTGGAAAGGAAGTCCTGGTGACAGTGATCCCTGGTGATTTTGCTGTTTCTATGATAGCCTGAGGACACAGGGCAGAAGAGATGTTTAACTGGTGATGGTATGTTTGGAAAAACTAGACAAGCTTTCAGATACAGAGTTTTCACCAAAAGTGGTATAATTGATACTAAACTCTCAACAGTTGTTCTTACCTTGCACTTACAGTGGTGACCTGCTGCTTCCATTTTGGACCTGATGGAGGACTTGTGTGCCTGAAAGCTTGTCCAATTCCCAGCTCTAATCTTTCTAATAAGAGAAATTACCTCCTATATACAAAACTTGTCCAGAAATGGGGATGGAAGTAGGATATTCTGTTCCTTCTGACTTTCTGCAGAATCCATGAGTCAAATAGCTATTTTGTACTATTTCTGAACCCTGTAGATTGCCTTGGTACTGCGCCTCTCCATCCTGCTGCAATGAGTGGGAAGTCCTTGCTCTTAAAGGTCATTCTTCTTGGGGATGGTGGAGTTGGGAAAAGTTCCCTCATGAACCGGTACGTCACCAACAAGTTTGACTCGCAGGCTTTCCACACGATTGGTGTGGAGTTCTTAAACCGGGACCTGGAGGTGGATGGACGTTTTGTGACCCTCCAGATTTGGGACACTGCGGGACAGGAGAGATTCAAGAGCCTGCGAACCCCCTTTTACAGGGGAGCAGATTGCTGCCTGCTGACCTTCAGTGTGGATGACCGGCAGAGTTTTGAGAACCTCAGTAACTGGCAGAAGGAGTTTGTCTATTATGCTGATGTGAAGGACCCTGAACACTTCCCATTTGTAGTCCTGGGCAACAAGATAGACAAATTTGAGAGACAAGTGAGCACAGAGGAGGCCCAGGCCTGGTGCATGGAAAATGGTAACTATCCATACCTGGAGACTAGTGCCAAGGATGACACCAATGTGGCAGTGGCCTTTGAGGAGGCTGTGCGACAGGTGCTGGCAGTGGAGGAGCAGCTAGAGCACTGCATGCTGGGCCACACCATTGACCTGCACTCCAGCTCCAAATCAGGGTCTTCCTGTTGTTAAGAGTGCCTGCTGCTTCGGGAACATCACTTGAGCCAGCAGCTGGATCGGAATAAGTGCAGGCAGCTCTGGGGCACTCTGAGGAGAGTGGCCACAATGACAATAGGTGGTTTGCTCACTGGAGAGTTGCAGCCTCACCATCTGAATTCTGGCTGGAGTTTCTGGCACAGAGGATCTAACTACAGGAGAGAGCTGTCAAAAGAGCATGTGAATGTAGTCCTGCTTTCATCTCTGCCTGTTCTAGCAGGTTTAAAGGACTGGGTTAAAGTCCTTTAAATTCCTTAAAGACAGTGAATTCTGATCTGTACCAAGAACTGCCTACGGAACAAAGCTGAGAGCGCTCTAGACACTCTTGGAAGTATTTTAGTCCTGAATTCAAAAAAATATTAGACCCACTAAACTCATGACCTTACTGCCAAAGGAAAGTCTGCTCAGCATACTGAATGAAACCTGTTGTAGAGACTCTAGCCCATGTGACTGTGAGAATGCCAAATACTAGCGTGGCTGAGATGTGTGTATCTGTTGTTTGGGATAAGTGCGTTGTGTCCTGAGACTGAATTGTGCTGAGAATTGTTAGAGCTCTGATCTGAAGCGACACAGGAAGGAGAGATGGACCTGTAGTTGAATGTGGCAGCATCACTTCTTTGTAGCTGCCTGTTTCTGGTCTGTTTTTCCTCACCTCTAACTTTGTCTTGTGTGAGTGTTATTTTGTGGAGAGACTGTCTGCTTCTTGTTTAATATATGTTTCCTTGTCTCTTCTGGAGGCTCAACACCGGATCTCGCTTCTCATACCTTGAAGGCCTGGATGGGAAATACTGATGTGGACATTCGCCAGGTCATGTCAAAGGGTTTAGAGTTACTCAGGAGTTCAGGAGATCTGGAGCGTGAAACTTCAGCTGGTTTCTGTCACAAGTAATCGCCATGTCCAGATGATATGCTCTAGCAGACCAGATGGTAGGTGGGTGGGGTGTCTCCTAGGTGTGCAGGTGGCTGGGGGAGTCATGTATGGTCAGCTGTTAAATCCACTCAGTCGGTGTGCAGGGCCGGTGACCACTGTGCTTCATTAGCTGGCAGATCATCGTCTTCAGTTGTTTTAGCACGGATGTTCCCATCTGGATGCTGCAACATAGAACCATTCACTTTATTACCTGTTGTGTCAGGTGCAGTGCTGCTGAGCGCAGTTAACTCATGCCGTTGTCCTGGCCCTTAGTCCCTGTGACTCATCTGACAGACTTCACTGGTAGAGGATGTCCACTCAATTAACTGGCCTTTGTTAATGGCTGCTGTGTTCAGTCCATTGGGGAGAGAGCTGCACTGGTTCCACCTCTGTTCAAGGTGGCTGAAAAATGGGGGTGGGAGGGCAGGGAACCTTCTAGAAAACAATGCCAGGCTTTGCTGATGCCAGCTTCTGCCCCGTGATAGGTCTTAGTCACAAGCTATCTGTGTAGCAAAGAGATGAGTGCTTGCAGACTGCTGTCTTTACCATTATAACCTCATGTCCTGCAACTTCCCGTGCAAGCGTTTGTCCAAAACTATGACTTTTCCCATAAGCACATAGGAGCCTGCCACAGGGAGAGCTTCCCTGAGTATGTATTGGCTAGCTGCTGAATGCGATTCCCACTGTGATGAGCTACTGGATGGTAAATTTTGTAGCTCAAATCGAGCAGCCTCACTTATGCTGTGCTTTAGAAAAGGGCAATCTCTGCCCTCGTGCTGGCTGGTGGCAGCTAATCCCCATCACCGAGCAGTCTCTGAGCATGCAGGGAGTCTCCTCTGGGGGAACTCAAGGTGATCCTGCCCTTCTCTGCAGGGCAGCCATGTGTGGAAGGGACTGAAGCTTTAATGCAAAGTGCTTTAGAGGGATCTGATTTCTAAGCAGGGCTGAACACTCATATTCATGGGGATAGTTAGGGAGTGCTTGCAGTCTCTGGAAAACAAGGTCCCTTGAGGTATAAGAGAAGGCTCTGCCTCCATAGGTGCAACAGATTTTTACAGGATATTAAAGTTATTGTTACTGTTTATTTACCAATGTCTGACCTCACCAGGCCTCTAGATTTTTCTTCTGTTTGATATTTCCTTCAATATCCCAGACTCTGTGACCTGTGGTTCTGATTTACACCTCTGAACAGATATGTTCCCCTGGAGCTGGTTTGCACAGGGGCCCCGGTGTTGGAACAGGCTCAGGCCCTTGTGCACTGCCTGGCCCTGCTGGAGGGGCTGCTGAGGGACCTCCCTGCAGGTGACACTGCCACTTCCCCAGCGCGGATCTCATAGGATCTGTGTGAGGACTGGCACCTCCTGTGGGAGAGGGCAGAGACTGAACAAGCCACGGTGTAGGAGGTACAGGTGCAGCACGTGTTTGCAGTACCCTGGGTGTGTGTTGATGCTGATAATGAGGCTCTCGAGCTTCAGCTGTGCACAGACTGTGCAGAGGGTATGTATTGCTGGAGGGTGTTACACAGCATCTTATTCCTAACAGACATTGGATCATTGACTTCTAAAAAAAACAAACTATTTTGTTAGGCTTATGTGTTTTAAAAATGCATTAAAAAAAGTATAATATAATATATTTAAATTGTTTAATTTATTTTAAATGATACGCACAATTTCCAAAGGAGCCAGGATTTTGAACTCTTTGTTGCAAAGTTCAGTGCCAACAGCCATCCCCTCCCTGTGTCCACTCGTGCTGCTGTGGTTGTTGCTATTGCTACAGAACTGGAATTGTAAAACTGAGATTCTACCTTTATTTAAGCAAATAAAACATGGATGTATTCAAGTGAATTCAGGAAGTGGCTGCCTTCTTGGTTTATCAAAATTCAAGTAGGCTCCTGTTCTCCTGATGGATGTGGAGCTGGGTTGGTTATACCATCTGGCAGAGAGAAGTCACTAAGGAATCAAAGGAGTTGGTTATTCCTGAATGTACCTAGCTAGATCAGTAGTTGAAGAAATATAACTTATTTACCAGCTGAATCCAGTGACCAGTTGTCTTTTCAAGAGTGTATCAGAGAATGCTTTCTTAACAGAAATATTCCACATTGCTTCCCTCTGTCACTACATTTTCATTTTCAGCCTGGCCTCTCAGCAGCAAGCTGGGTACTTTCCTTTGATTTCTTCCTGCAATCTTGGAACCGGTCCCTCAGGCTCCAGGGGATTGTAACCAGGCATGATTTCCATAGGATGCTGAGACAGAAATCAGCATATGGGGACTGTTCTCTTCTGCTGTCCTGCCAGGATGGTCGCTTATTTTGGGAGGCTTTCTCTGTTTGCGGAGTCCGTGCCTGGTGTTTCGGTTGGCAGAACCTTTTAGTTTATTTTTCTCCCATGTCTGCTTGCCTATCCACGATTCCAGAGGCAGAGTAGGGTTTCAAGTCCTTGGAAATCCTGCTTTTTAAATGTGGGCTGGAGTATCTGGGGGCCTCCAGCATCTTACTTCAGCTGTTTCAAAACACAGCTGAAAACAGACAGCCAATATGACCTAGTGGGAGATGGTCCCAGCCTTGGAGGAGTTGTGGGGGTTGGATGAGGCTGTCTCATGTCAGTGAGGGTCTGTCTAAAACCATCAGAACCACTGACTCCCTTGATGTGAGATGTTTGTAAGAAAATGTGGGGCAGAGGCAGGAGCAATAGTGAGGCTGTTCCCTTATTCCTCACTTTGCCACCGCAAGCAATAGCGGAGGGCTCAGTGGGTTTTGTCATGGGTTGGAGAGAGGATAGATCCCTGGAGGGTAAAGGAGTGTCTGCAAAGGAAAGCAGTGAGCTGCTTCTGTGTGGAACAGATGCTGTAGCATATCCCTGTGTGCTTGCAAAGGAGGAGGAGTGGTGTGGAGTCTCCTGGTCCCATCCATCCCCCTCCCACAGCCCTCCTGAGGATTTTGCTTCTCTGGGCCAGGTAGCGCAGCTGTAAGGCCGTGCAGCTGCTTGGTGGGCTGAGGAAACTGAAATCTTCTCTAGAACCACTAGCGAAGGAGCCCCAAATGGCTGCAGATGCCCTGGAGTTGCTGTGCTCTCTGGGTGAGCCAGGCTGCTCACACCTGCATGCTTTCCCCAAGTACAGCTCCTCCCTAGCTCCAGAGGCAGGCTCCTCGCAGCAGTACAGCTGTAAGGAGGTTTATGGGAACATGATCTCTCTGGGGACTGCATTTTCTTACCTGTGTCTGGGGATGAGCAAAAAGATATAAAGAGTCTAAAAATGGCCTTTCAGGAGCCTCTGAACCCCACTCCAAACTCCAGTTCTTAACAGAGCATTTGCTGCAGCTCTGGTGCCAGGGGCACTGGCATGGTCTGCTCTGGAGGAAGGAGCACTCCCTGCTCTGCTGATGAGGGATGTGGTGGGAGGCAATGGCAGCTCCGACAGTGGTTGCCCAAAGGCCTCAGGTGAGTCAGAGTCCCTCGACTGGGAGGCTGCGGCCTGGGACAAGCCATGAAGTCAGTGAAATGGTGGGTTACTTCCTGAGGCGATTGCTCAGGTGAAAGAAATCGGGGATTCTCAGAGATACCCCTTGACCCCAGTGCGTGCATGGCTGGTGGAGCAACTCTTTCCTAGTGGCTTCAAGGGGTCCTTCAGGGGCTGGTGCATTTGGCCACATGTAGATGCAGGACTCCTGTCTTCATGAGCAGCCAAGTACAGCATCTGCCTGTGCTATTGTCAGTCTTAGTCCTTTCCATGAGGACTTAGAATCTCAGAATAGTTTGTATTGGAAGGGACCTCTAAAGGTCATCTAGTCCACCCCCCCTGCCGTGGGCAGGGACATCTTCAACTAGATCAGATTGCTCAGGGCCCCGTCCAACCTGATCTTGAATGTTTCCAGGGATGGGGCATCTACCCCTCTCTGGGCAACCTGTTCCAGTGTTTCACCACCCTCGTTGTAAAAAATTTCTTCCTTATATCTAGTCTAAATCTACCCTCTTCTAGTTTAAAACCATTACCCCTTGTCCTGTCTTCCCACTTGCTATTCCCGCCTCGATTCCAGGCATCTCCCTAGCAGAGCCAAACTGTGCGCAGAAATGGAGAGAAACCAGCTGGGTGCCTGATAGGCAGCACGTGAGACCTTCCTCTAGGGCAGATGGGCGGCAGTACCATGCTGTGGCCC